CACCCCATCTGCTTGCTTAAGGAGTCATCCAAGAAGACAGCACCTGACAGTCCAACTCTCCCTCAGTACTACACCAGCACATCCACTTTGATTTTCATACGCAGGTAGGAACAGCAGATGCCCGATAGGGCAGTGAATACCTGAATAAGGGTGCTTAGACAGAAGCGTTAGTAATTAATATGTTATTTTTACATGACAGGGTGATCAAAAGACAATCTTATTTGTGGCCAACAAGCAAGATGCCATCAACATTAAGGGCGAAGCTCTACATGGCAAGTGACTATGAGAAAGTGTTTGCCCAAAATCTAGTGTCAGCAGAGAGATAGACAGATCTTTCTGAAGGGTCCCGACCCAAAGTGGCAGCTTTCCTGCTCCTCTGATGCTGCCTGGCCTACTGTGTTCCTCCAGTTCCACAGTGTTATCTCGGACTACAGCATCTGCAGCTCTTACTATCTCAGCAGAGAGACAGGTGTACATGGGTCACCGGACCCGAAACGTTAACTCTGACTTTTTCCACCCCCTCAAACAGACGCAGCCAGACCTGCTGAGCTTTTCCAGCACCTTCTGTTTTTGTTCCAGGTGTACAATGTAGTTCTCTTCTGGAAGGATACTTGCAGTCATGTTCAGATGGGCCTGAAACTTGGGTCTGCTGCTGTGCAGTGATCAGAGTAGCATAGAGCCCCTTACAGCATCTCATGCAGCCTTAGTCCTGCTTAACCAGTGAACAAACAAAAGCTCAGGCTCCAAAATACACAGTCACTTGACAATAGATTTCAGCATGCATCTTGGATTTCTTTTCTATTCATTTCTCCAAACCTCCTCTCTGTCCTCTCTGATAACAGTACAACTTTAGTTAAGTAACTAAATTCCACTCTGGAGGAGAAAAACAAGTGAAAAATAGAATGATGTGCAAAAAGCAACAACACTGTAGCTTAACTCAAAAGCTGTAAACTGTTATCTTGGGATCTTGTGTAAAGCCTTCTGAAAGCTTGTAGTATCCTTTGGAGGCACATTTTGAGGTAATAATCTAGATTGGGGAAAAAAAAACTCCATTTTTGTTTTCTTACACATGCTATGAAAGTTACCGAGATATCAGTACATGGAAGCATTTCAAGGAAATAAGGATCTAGGCCTCACGTACCCCAGAACACCTGGCGGAAGTAGAGACGAGGAACTGAAGTCTAAACACCAACACAAATGACACAGTCCCTTTCTGAAATGCTAACCTCCTTCCCTCCTAATACTGCCAGAGCTACTGCATATTCCCATCCATTCTTATCCAGTTGTTTCAGCTTTCTTCCATGCACCCAATCCTGCATTCCCAATTTCTCCCTCTATCTCAAAGACCAGTTTATAAACTGGCACGTTAAATGAAATGTATGCATTTGCCTGTGCAGGTTACATAGCACTGAGAACCCTAGCCGATAACAGCTGATAATACTGAAGAATGGCACCGCATATGCAAAACTGTAATTTTCAACCCATGGTGCTAATGTACAAATGTTGGTATGTTGTCCAAGATTTCCCAACTACATCAAGATATGACACCACAAAGCTGCAGCAAATTACAGAATAACTGTGCCCCTTATGTTCTTGTACTTCTTAAGTGATCTGGGCTTGGAAGAGAAAGCCAATTGAGATACAAAAGAAACAAGGAATTTCTGGGGCAAGGTTCATTTTTCTGCATTGATCCACTGCAGAATCTGTATCCAATCACAAATCGATCCTTAATAAAAACCAAAAGAATTGCAGATGTTGTAAATCATAAACAAAAAAAAGGACAGAAGTTGCTGGAAAAGCTCAGCAGGTCTGGCAGCCTCTGTGGGGTCACCAGACTTGAAACGTTAACTCGGATTTCCTCTTCACAGATGCTGCCAGACCTGCTAAGCTTTTCCAGCAACTTCTGTTTTTGTTCAAATCAATCCATACCTTGCAAAAATGTCTTAGCAACTAGTTGTAAAAGATGCACAACTTAACATGAATATTAAATCATAAAAGTGTTATTACTGCCTGAGAAAATGTCCACACAGCACAATGCCAATTAATTAGCTAGCAATCACGCTGATCAAAAAATCCTATCCCATTTGGATGACTTCCAATGTTGACTCAGATATAGCCATTATCTTCACTGATGAGGAAGAGTAATGAAGTGGTATAATTGCCTTTGAATTTTGGTGTGGTAGGAACATTAGGAATGCGGAGCTGAACAAAGAAAATCACTTTTTAGTCTCATGAACTATGCAGAGATTATTACAGAGGCTCTCAAACAAGAAGCTAGAGTGACACATTCTAGCTGTTATCATAGTTGTACAGCAAAAACCATTAACTTTCTTCAGGTTTTCCAGTGTCAAGCAGATAGGGTGGGCAAGAGAAATAGGCCCCAATCTCTGCAGCAATGACTCAGCTGTTCGGAGATCCATGGAAGATTTTCCCTTCCCAATACCCTATTTAGTGCTTCCATGCACTACATCTTATTGGACAGTTCCAAGAACATGAAAATTGGGAAAACTTCCAATACTCCATCGAGGCTGCTATCCTGTCACTTTATTTATATGTGGAGAGTCCTTGACACGGATCCAGTTCCCTCAGAGCCAGCTCTCAGAGTGAACAGGATGCCTGACACTCCTGTTTATATCTGTCAGCCCGGGCTCCCTGATTGAACCAGATTAACAGCCCCAATCAGGGAACTCATTCTACAAGGTCCACCTGGCTGACCTTGTTATAATTAGTACATCAATGTACACACTGATATATCAATGAGAAATACATGTATATTATGCAAAAATCTATTAACCTTTGAAGTTGAGCCCATTGTTACTGGTTATTTAGCTTTTACACATTACAACCAAAGTGGGCACAAGGTTAGGATCCATTAAAGTTGAAAACAGAAGACGACTCAAACTAATTCAAGTCATCGTTGGATGAATCAATGCTCATGTGTCCCAAGCTTCAGCCTTATAAAGATGGAAAAAATACTTGAAGACTTGAAAAACACTTGAAGAGGACACAAAGAGGATCATGAGCATGTTTGGAGCTTAGATAGGAGATAAAAGTTTAGAAAAACAATGGCTGCAGCAGTAGTAATTGATAAAATAAATTCAGGACAATTTCAAACAGAATTACAAGAAACAAAGGGTTTATTCATGGGCAAGTGGCAATTAATATACACTATGAATCAAAAAATTAGCTTTGCTCTTTGCACCATCAAGCTGTGATGTCTCCTGGTCTTATGGCTTGATCTATAATGACAAAAAAAACCTTATACTTTTGTTCCCGTTCTGGTGTTATGCAAGTCTCCAGAGGGAATAAAAATGGATTCAATGTTGATACAATCACTTCCTAAAACAAAAAATGCTTATTCTGCTCAAAAGTATATTTTTTTTAATTAAATGCCCCATTCAAATTTTCTCCACTCCTTTCGGAGAGTTGGCATAAAGCTTTGGTTCTATAGCAAGGTGAAGGTGGATGGATAAGAATATATTTTCAATCTCAAGAGCAGGGCACAAGTTTTACAGCTTTTCAATCAAAAAGTTTCAGAAACAAGCTACTTCTAATTGGTATCAAAAATGGAGGAATATAAACAAAAAAGTTTATACATTTATTTTCTCTTTCACCATCCTGGAGTCTCCCTCTCTCAGGGATGTGGGGCTGGATGTGGCTAGGGATATGATTCCCAGGTGGGACTGGTCTTCCACTATGTTCTACCAGCAAGGAGTTGAGAAACTGCAGAGGATTTTTTTCCAAATCTATGTTCTTTGTGCTTCAGATAGGATGTGCAGTCTCTACAGCAAGGACTGTTGCTGTGAGTGTTTTAACAGCTTTAAACAGGGACTTAACATCTTCTGCAGGATTTTCCCCATTCACAGTGGGATCCAGATCCCCAAGTATTGATAGCTTACTCAACTGACGATAAACCAACCAGTTGCAGTTCTATATGACTTGGTGACCACCACACATACTTCCCAATGGATGATTGGCTATTAAATTGATGAAAACATGAATCCACCTACTGCGCAACAAATTTGCTAAAATACAGAATGCTGAAAAACACACACCAATACCCAACCTACAGTGAGGTGATCGAAGAAAATAATTTCTGTTGGAAGATTCCAGAAATTTAAGACCATAATTGGAATATGTTCTTTTTTTTTAAAAAAAATGACAGTAGCGAAATACCTTAACATCACTCCAGCAAACAGCATTAATGGGCTAATAAGGTATTCAGCATTAGTTAGAAGGGGGGGGTGGGGGGTGTTGACTGAGGGTCACAGTGACAACATTCTTATTCTCCATAAAATTGGGTTTGTGATACTTAATCTGAATGAAACCAGCACAGTTGCATAAATTTGGTTTGTACTCTCTTGTATATTAAAGCTTTGAGGAGCAATCCAATCAAGTTGCTCAAAGTATCAAAAAGGATTCAACAGGATAGACAGAAAACTTTCACTGCACTAGTAAAGAACAAGGAGCCAACCTTAAAATGACAACAAGGGTTTTTCTGAAGGAAATCACTTCAGCTCTTTATCACACCAAGGACAATGAAAATCTGGAATCACCTATCAAAGGTTTTGGACACTAGTGATCAACTTGTGCTTTCAGGACTGGAGGTGAAAGAAGTTTGTTGAGTGAAGATTTGAAGAAAGGTGAATAAATGGAATCAAGGTGCTTGGCCAGTCATAACCAAATTGAACACAACTCCACCTAATTTATCCCCACTCCTTGTAGCCCAAATCTCAGAGCCTTCACCCACAGCATATAAAGGTCTCCAAATTATCGCTGGGAACTGGAGCAACCAGGAGTGGAGGAATGGCCTCCTCTTGTTCAGATGGAAGAAATGATTTAGATACAATTTTACTTGTGTCACTACTCGTGTGCCACAACAAACTCATCATAATGAAATAAAATTCACACGAGCTGGGAACAAAAACTTTCAGAAGCTGAGTTGTCACAAAATACAAAGATGTTCAAGAAAGTAAATAAAGAGAAGAGAACTTAGTTACTTTTGTCTCCTGCTCCAGGGAAGAACCTGAGCCTGTCCTTCCGTTTCTTTTCTTCAGGAGCCAAAGGAAGCGGTTTGGAGCCATGGTTTAGGTTCCCAGGGTCTTTGCTGCCCCCACCAATCATGGTGCTGGTGTTCCTCATGGGCGGAGCTGGAGGCTTGTCTTCCACTTCACCATTATCTGACATCTTCAGTCGCCACTACCTATCACTGTGAACACAAAGACAGCAAGGTTGTAGATTTACGATTGCTTTCATTTAGGGAAGAAAAGCAAAGGACTGTTGGGGGCGGGGAGAGAGCGAGAAAGGGAAACAGAGAGAAGAAGACAGCGAGAAGGAGAGAGAGAGA